GGGCCTCAGGGGCCTCCAGGAGCCTCCAGGGCCTCCAGAGGCCTCCAGGGGCCTCCACAACCTTCCAGGGGCCTTCGGGGGGTCTGAGGGGCCTCCAAAACCCCAAAAAACCCAACAAACATCATTTTGAACGAAAAATGCGCCCGCGCGTACCGCCAAAGCCTCGAACCTTGGGCGAGGCTGAAATTTCATGCGGGATGGTCGGGCTGGACTAGGCCACCCCCCCACGGCAGGGGGGGGGGGTGGCCAGGCTGGAGGGGGTTTTTAAAGGGATCTGAACGCCCTGATGAGGCTGGATGCCTCGGCGAATTTTTGGCCCTTACTGCAGAAAGTTGTTGTGATTTTGCTAGGCATACGACGTAGGCTTTGCAATATCTCTCTTACTCCTCTCCATCAACGGATCATCTACTCCCTTTATCACCCCTCTCAAGCGCCGTAAAGCAGAAAGCTTTGGTACTGTCCTTACCCTAGCACAGCCCCGAAACATTGAAATGGCAGTAGTGTTACTGTATAAGGGCCCTCGCTTTTTGTCGCCGTTATAGTGTGGGGGCAATATCCAACAGACGACCTGGTGCTTAGTAGAGCACGAGGGAAGGATCACTAGACTGGTCCGCCCTTTTGTTTTCCATTTCCTCATCCCTCCCAAACATATCTTGCCGTACCTCTATACTATATATCCCTACATGGCCCATACCGTAAACCCTAAGCCGCTGAACAAAAATATACATACATACATACATATCTTAATATATATACACATATACATATATATATATAGACATACATTCATCCCTATATGAGCCCTACATATCCCTTTTCTTGAGGCTCCGCCTCGCCGAAGGCCCTCCGCTGAAGTTTGACAAGCGCACCTTTGGCTGCATGATGCCACAGCCTTTATATGAGCTATAGTCTAAACCCCTGAAGGTCATTTTATAGGGTTGAGGATTGAGGATTTAAGGTTTAGGGTCTAAACTCCTCAAAGGGGGCTATTTCGGGATTTTATACGGTTTAGGGTTCAGGATGTAGGGTTTAGACTCCTTAAAGGGGGTGCAAAGGAGATTATATAGGCGAGTGTTCATAAGGAGGCTTCACAATTTTGAGAGGCGTACTGCTTGGGGTAGCGGGTTTCACGTGAGGTTTAGGGTGGATTTAAAGGATAATCAGTGTTCTTCAAAAATGGGGGCTCTCAAGGACCCCAAGGGATTGCGCGGGGATTGTGGGGGGTCACTCCACAACAACCCAGAGGGATGATTTCGAGAAACTTCTATATAGCCGAGGCTTTTGAATAGGATTCTGGAGTGTGTTATAGTGCACCTGTAGTTACCGGGACTGTGGGAGAATGATGTTGGTAATACTGTTGTAGAAGCCCTTGCTCATCACGTTGACGTAGACGGGGTCTTTGATCGCTGAGTTCAGGCGGATTGAGTAGCATTTTTTTGGGGGATACTATGGTACCCATTATAGAGTAAGATTATATCCTCCATTTGGGTATAGTATTTTGTATAAGGAATATGATCTTACTGGGTTCAACCACCAAAAAAACTACTCAGTAGGGGTACCTTGAAAGGTGCATGCGTTATGCAGAAATGAGAAAGAAAGGAGCTAATGGAAAAGAACATGGAAACTACTATAGTATATTGGGGTTAGGCGCTGTGTAAAGACTATAGACTCCCTTAAGTAGATATGGGTTTGACCATAATCCCATAATCTATCTACTTCGGGGAAGCTATAGCCCAAAAGTATACCCTATTATAACGTAGTAGTTTCCATTTCCTTTTCCATTATCCCTATATAACCCCAGTAATATACCATATATTGTATCTACATAAGTTACGAACATGGCATGGCCGCAGTCACTACTCATTCGACCACAGCAAGTTAAATCCTGTCCCACCGGGAATTTTGAAAACTGGACATGAAAGTGCTCCCTGATTAAGATTTCCAGGTTGGGCGTACTGCTTTGTCCAACCCTGTAATGGTGGCATATGGGATTCTTGTAGCTTGCGTCCTACAAGCGGTTTGCTGATTCCTCCTCTGAAACCAAGCATGAATGGAAGCCTCGCCTAGTCAGGCATTCTCAGTGAGCGCTCGGAATATTTCCGCGAGATGCTGGCATCCAAGTGGCGAGAAGGCCAAACAAACGAGGTCGACTTGAGCACGAGCCTCACTGGCACCACTTCGTATAGGTTTAGGGTTTCTGGGGTTAAGGGTTATACTGTAGGGCTTCGGCTTGAGGATTATAGGGGGTTGGGTTTAGCGTTATAGGGTCCAGAGTCCAGGGTTTAATTTTATAGGATTTAGAGTTTAGGGTCACAGGGTCTAGGGTTTAGGGACCTCACCTAACAACACTTTGTATACTGGGTTGCTGTTAAGAAGCTAGTTTTTAGAATTACTATATAATGAGGAAACCCTATTACGCGCCACATACCCACAATATGGTAACTATTCTTTCAAGCTCCTCAAGCAACAGCAACCCAGTATAGGGGCCTGGAATCACCACTGTTGCCGAACTAGATGCCTTGTGTAGTTGAAGTATGGGGTACCTCGAACAGATCTTATGATGATAGAGGTGATTACTTAGGCACCTATAGCATGCGTTAATGAAGGGGATAGACCTGGAAACTGCCACATTATTGCGGAATTTAGGCTCTAACTAGTATAGAACTGAGTATAAGAATCCAGTCCCCCAATCCCGACTAAGGACCAGGCCCTGAACGCTGAACGAGGATTGTCTACGTAGCCAGTCTTGGGATGATGGCAGGAATATGAGGAATCCGAGGGGGCTACGGGGCTCCGTTTTTACAACCCGGTCTAGGGTTTCGGGTATGGGATTTTGGGTTTAGGGTTTCGCGATATTACCTGGAATTGCCTGGGCTGCATTGATCATTTGGGGTTCAAAGAGACTACTTCTTCAGCTGGGGCTTTACCTTTCACTTCTGTGGAGCCTCATCCAAGGAGCCCTCACATCCACCGTGGCTCCCTGGATGCTGTGCTCAGTTACCTGATGTCGGGCCGCTTTTTCTCTGGTGCCTGGCTGCAAAGTCTATCCTTTTGTGTTTGAGGGAAACCTACTGGCAGAATAGAAATCTATACAAACCACCAAAGACAGATTTCGACTGCTTTTGGAGAGAAGCATGCAAAATGTTATGAAACCAGCTCATTGTTCAGTCCTTGAGCTCACATCTATCACTAGTCGGTAGGTACTGGGCTTGTCTCGTCCTCTTTTTACCCGAGCTTTCAGATTTTGGAATCAAATTAATGAGAATCACCCTCAGTGAAAAGTATTGTACTCTAAACTGTGAGCTCCATGGACTTATGACCTTCCTCTGACACCTACAGTGCCTCCTTGAACCCATCCAACTTCAAAAGGAGAAGTTGGAAAACTACAGTCCGGAAGTTTCTAGACCCCATTGCCTTGTGGTTTCACATGAGGCGGCGACGCCACATTTGCCTTCGGCGTGCGCAAGCTAGCAGACCAGTTCTGTTTAAAGGATCCTCCCAGAGATATGGGTGGTTGTCAAAATTATGGTCCCTTTTTGGATTCCTATTATTATACGGCACCTAATATTTAGAGTACCCAAAAAGGGACCATATTTTGACAACCACCCATATCAATAGGGTCCTGAGATGAGGGTCTTGAGTTGCAGTATGAAGGGTGGGATGTTTCGGGGAGAGTGTGGGGCTGATGGGATTTCAGAGTATTTGCGGCATGTTGCCTCGTCTCTTGGTCTTCCATATCTGAGACATCAGCTTCAGAGAAGAAGAGAAAAATCAGCGCTGTCAATGGCATCCGTCATCTGTGCTGGTTGTGCCCTGCAGGACCTGGTGGACAAAGTTGAAGCTGAGCTGGTCACGATGTTGTCGAAACTCTTCGGCATTCTGGGTTCCATTTGCGCAGGATCTAAGATTACGTGTTGGCAAGTACACGCCAGAAAGTCCCTACTGGACCGTCGAACCTTCCAGGACACCTCAACTTACAAGCTCAATGATTCAGTTTGACCATAATTCAACGGGCATCCAGAAGCTATGAGGCTGCTTCTAGGCACAGCCACGCCAAGGTCATTTTCGAGGTGTGAAATCCGTTCACTAGACTTCCGGAAGTATCCGGAATTCAAGGTTGGGAACTTCACTCCAAATCTGAAGTTTCACAGAACGCGAGCCCCATGCCACCCTTAATCAAGCAGTTCACCTTTTCTCCATGTTTGGCGTTCGGGGTTCATCACATTTCCGGGTTGCTCTTCAGAAATTTAAGTTACTATATGAGCTACTGTGACAGTGGACATAGGGGCCCCTCTTGTTTTTTGGTATAATCCCCAGCCCTAATAAGGAGCCCATGTCCATGGAATCGGGTAGGAAATATTGGCTGTAGCTCATATGGGGGGAACCATACTAATTACTGAATATACCCATTTTGGTAACTTAATGTAAGTTCCGCAACAGCAACCCAGATTCACTTGAGCAGCACTAACTGTCCTTTCTTCTCTCTTGCTTCCTGAGCATCCTGTGTTCCAACTCACAACCCATCTACTTATCGTGGGTTAGTCGGGACTATTGGAATACATTCTATAGGGACTTCATAGGGATTACATGCCAATATTCCATACTAACCACCAGTAAGTCTATACCTAAGGTGGGAAGCCCTAAGACCCCTCCTCTACGATACCACAACCAAAAACCTTGTAATAAACCCTAAACCCCTAAAGCAAGGAAGCAGCGAGTCCTGGCTTTTTTGGGCCAGGCAGGTTGCACGGGTTCAGCGACCTCATGGGTCCCTGTCTGGCGTTTGACTACTCCCCTTCCCCGCTAATGAAGCCCCTCACCGCCTACTAACACATATTCTACTCTTTATATAAAATCGTCTCATATTACGAACATTTACTATTAGGAGGGTGAAGGGTGTAGTAGCAGGGGAGGGATTTGGTTTGTGGTTGTCCTTGATGCGCAGTGGTCTCAGAATGGTAGTTCACGTCAGGCAGACATGCTGGTTTCGGGAGGATGCAGCGAACCACATTTGAATGAGCACGTACATGTTGCCTAACCATTCAATCTAGGTCTGGGCGTGTGTGGGGCATGGATCGATGTATTCATGCTGTTTGGTAAGCTGCTGAAGCAGAGATCTCAACCTTGAAGCTCAATGGAGTCATTCAGAAGCTCTAGTACAATGGCCGTCGCAAACCCAAGAAAATGCAGCAGTAGCACTAGTACCGATTGAAAACTACAGTCTGCAAATAAGATGGTACCTACTTTGGGCTGTTTGGGCCCTGGGGACAGAGATCACTTTCTGAAGATGACAGGTCTTCGGAAGCGGGGGTCGGCTCGAGGCGGCTTGCTTAGAGATGGTGAAGGCAGGGTGTGGGGTCTATGTCGTTCTGCTGACTAAGATTGATCCTCTAGAACGTTCCCATAATTAAAGCGTGCTACACTAGAATTCCTTCCCAATTCAAACTGGACCCTACCTCAGCTCATAGCATAAAGTGGTAGAGCATCTGCTACAGCGCAGAGTGTCGCAAGGTTCAGGCTCAAGGACCTGGGGTGCTGGAATACAGCGTCACTACAAAGGATGTTGATGTTGTGGTTTTTGCAGGTTGCTACAGTGCACTTACAGAACAGTACTGCCAAGGACCTGACCAGTTCCCACACATTCTGAAGTTTGGTCTTCTCCTTCTCGATAGTATTTCTCAGAACATACCCCACATAACGCCCAAGGGGCCGCTCTTAGCCCCCTTAGAATCACGATAAACTAATCTCCCCGGAATGGGGGAATGGATCCCTATAGTAGTCCCTAGATAATTCCTAATAATCATCCCTATAATCCATTCTCCCATTCCCTCCTAAGCACCAGGGAGTAATATGCCCAAAGGATCCATGTAGGTATATGGTATATACTTAGGGCCCAAAGGCGTTCCCATATACCTACTTTAAGGCCCAAGTATACCCCATATAGCTACATGGACCCTTTGGGATGGGTCCGCAAAGGGCCCGCCTTTTGAAGAGAAACTCCGCTCATAGCGACCTACAGGAGCTCGGCCCAACCTTACAGGTGGTCTAGGGTTTAGGGTTTAGGGTTTAGGGTATCCCCCTGAATAATGGAGAATCAAATGGAAAAGAAAATGGAAAATGAAATGGAAACTGGGATTATATAGGGGATTATAGGGGTTATAAAACATGGAATCAAGGAATAGGACCTAGGGACCAGTATAAGGGACTAAGGGCCCCCTTCTCCTTTTTCGCTACTAGCCTCTAGTAAGTGACTGTTTAGCTGCTGACGGTACTTTTTTGACTGTGCCGACGTAGCTTATTCATTGTTTCCATTCTTGTACGTCTTATATCCCAGCCATAAAATCGAGGTCCTGAAGCAATAGGTGCAGATGTCAGACGCTAATATCTTCGCGCCCACTTTTGGCCGTCCAGTTTTGTATGTTGAGTACCCCAACTGGAAGCGCAGGGTAGATGCCTCTACTGGGATTTTCATGGGCAGGGCTACATGGAGGAAATGTTGGGCCCGCACTGTTGCACCTATTTCTTGGGTACCTCATGTCTCTACAGGCAGTTTTATTAATCCCCCAACTACTAGAATCCTTATAATAGGGACCCCTAATCTGGGTTGCTGTTAAGGAACTTAAATTAAGTTACTAAATTGGGGAAACCCTATTATTTACTATATATACCCATTATGGTGACTTAATTTAAGTCCCTTAACAGCAAGCCAGGAATAGGGTATTCCTCATTTTGGGAAACCCAGTTACTACCCACGCAGCTCCCGGGCGACACTGTCATGTACCCTGGGCCAGGAAGGTCCAGGTAGGCGTTCCCAAGGCCGAAGGCTTTCACCCCAAAACTCGAGGAAGCCAAAATTGCAAACTCTTCCGAGCCCGAGCCTGAAGTTTGGTAGGGGTTTTTAAAGGTTGTATTATCACTATTACTATGGCTATTTTTCAACTTTTGTTCTTATTGCTATTACTGCTATTACTATCCTGTGGGTCTTATATGCCTGTTATATCACTTGTAGATGTAGGGGCCCATTGCTTACTGAGGTTTAGCAGCGAACAAGGAAACATATTACATGGTGTATATATATGTATGTGTAGAGTCATTACATGTCCTTCCTAACCCCCAGGAAGATGGTTAGGACCTGAGAGCTTTGCTAGATTATTGCTTGTAATACTACTATCACTATGGATAAGATTAATTACTATTTCTTATGAGTATTAGTATTACTACAATTCTTCTTCTTGTTACTATTATTAGTATTACTATCTTATTATTCTATGAATAATACAACTCACTTTTACTTAGTAGTATTAGTATTACTACAGTTATTCTTATTCTTATTACTAGGAGCTTTGCTAGGCCAACGACTGTGCAGTCCTCCGGCGACAGAAAGAGAAGCTGGGCCAGGCGACTGCGTGGAAAATGGTAGTTTGGCCAAGTAGGGGGACCCCAAAAGACCCCAACATGCTATAGCATATTGTGGTTACCAGGACCCTCCTTGTGCCCTTAATTGGGGATATATTGTCCCGAATAGTAGGTACTTAGGCCCTAATAGAGGGTAGGAGGAAGGTCTAGGTATATAGGCATAATGGAAAAGCGAATGGAAATGGTACGCCTAATTTTGGGAAACCCCCCACGTTCTCAAGCGGTGTTGCGGGGAGAGGGTTTGTGTTTGGGTTTAAGGTTAGGTAGGTTTATGTAGGGGATAGAGTTTACGGGAGGAGGTTGTGAGTTCAGGGATTAGAAGCTCTTCTTTTGTACTCCTTTTCGGGTGGCTTTTCAAACTTTTTGAACCAAGAGATGAGCTTGCGTGATTCCTACGACTAGTCCCTGAATACGCATGGCTGCCTAGATGCTGTTTGGACATACCCATTTCGGTCCTGGCGGCACACAGGAGCAGCCTTTGATGGCTTTGCAGAATGACGAGTCCCATTCTGACGGTCCCCGTTGCAGTGCACATGTTTTGCGAACGTATATGAGCTGTAGTCTAAACCCCTAGTATCCCCCTTAATAACCCCAACAGTAGTTCCTTATGTAAACCCTATATAACACCCCTTTAAGGAGTTTAGACTATAAATCAGATTCATATGCAGGCAGGCAGCTCAGATGGATGCACGTACCAGCTTGCGTAAACTGTTTTTCAAAATCATGAGGAATCAACGTGGAGAGTCGTATTTTGAAGGAGCCGAAATAATATCCGGGCCGGTACATACAGCTTTCCCGCTCAAACCTGAATGGCCTGAAGCCCTGAGTCTAATTCTCATAGCTGCCATGGTGTGCCGAATAGAGAGAGAGCCTCCGAAACTATGAACGACCATGTTGTCGTTACCCAGACCCCCTAAAGGATCCCAAATCTGGAATCCCTTAAATAATCTGCTAGGTTCACATGTAGTACTGGAACCATTTTTTTTGGGGGGGGGGGTCCATTTTTTGGATCCTTTAGGGGGTCTGGGCACGGTGGTTAGTAGTATTCCCTACTAACCCCCAGTAAGCAAACCCCTTAGCCCGTGAACGCTCAGCGACTACTGCTCAGGTGGTGGATGAGAACCCGGAGCTGGCCAAGGAAGTCTTAAAGTTGCATGCCTTGATTTACCAGGGGGGTTTAGGGTTTAGGGTTCAGGGTTTAGGGCTTAGGGTTTAGGGTTTAGGGTTAGTAGGGAATATCTTATATAGAGAATACAGAGGGATTCTTTTTCCCTTATTCCCTACTTCCCGCCTGTGAGCTTGATGAGCATGGGCTTTTCTGCAAGGGAGTGTATAGGCGTTTATGGGGCTTTTCGGGTTTCGGAGCTCGGTCCGCATTTGGACTTGGGGTATTTTGAGTAGGAACTAGGAAGGGCTCAATGCACCACACTCAGAATTGGAGGAGGTTTCTGGCAGTGAGCGTCAAAACCTTTAGAGAAACGCACCGCACGGCAACGTTCTCTTCTGTTTGTAGACGAAGTAGGGGTTGGACAGCGTTTTTGCTGTGTGATGGTCATCGCATTTTCACGGGCGCTGAGAAACCCTGGACTTTGAGGGATTGTTTGTCGGTTGCGTTAGTCGAGGCGAACGTTTCTCAGAATGTGTCAGACGAACGCTGCTTCCCTTTTGGGTGGTTTTGAGTGACCCTAAGTACCTACTACTTGGGCCCATATACCCCAATTCAAGGGCCCAAAAAAGGTCCTGGTGAGCCAAGGCTTTTGGCTGGCAGAGGAAAGAAGCGGCGGTGGGATAGCTCAGGGAGCTCTGATTCGGATAGTAGCTGAGGCAAAGATCCTCGCTGCCCCTGTTCAGGGCTTGTAGGGTTTAGACATTAGAGCTTCGGGGTTTAGGATTTATGGTGTAGAGTTTACACATGAGGGCTTCAGTGCTTGTAGGATTTCAGGATTCAAAGTCGATGTGGGGTACAACAGGCACGCGGTTCGGCCCTTCAAGTTGGTTCTTGACCGCGTTCGCTTATCGCAGCTATCATCAGTGCTGCTAGTTGCAAAAAAACTCGGCCCTCCTAACTTAGACTCTGTGTGAGTTGCGCTGAATGGTCCGCCTCCGCGAGCGAACAGGCGCGAGGCAAAAAGAAATGCGCGCTGCCCATGCTGTGCTACCCTAGAGGCCCACTTACGTTCATATCGGTTTACTGTTCCCCAGTCCCTCTATAATGAATTCATATTGTCCGTATCTCTGTATCTATATATATATATATCTATCTCTCTCTCTCTCTCTGTATATATCTATCTATATATATATATATATATGTAGATATTATGTATGTGTGTGCATAGCGGTAACTAGGCTTCTAGGGCTAGGATTTGAGCAAGGCTTGTTGTCAGGATTTCTGTTAATTACAATTGTCGTTCTTACTACTATTATTGCTGTGCCTCTTTGGTGTCATTGTTGCGATGTACTAATTTGTGGCAGACTCTGCACACGGTATGCCTGGAACGCTTGTTTTTGTGTCTAAGGCTTCTGCAGGGAGGGTCTTGGGGCCCAAACAAGAAACCAGACTCCCGACATCAGAAAATCAATCCTGTCGGGTGAATCTATAACGTGAAGGAGGGTTCTGCTTTAAGCTTTTCTGCTTTGACAATGGGTCAGTCGAGTCAAGCTGCTGAAGCTTACTTCGCACTACAATCGACACCACTGGCACAACTGTTATGATAGTTTTTTTTTTGTGACTCTCCAACATCGTGGAATGGCATATGCGTCCTGCCTTCTTGCTAATCCTGTTTCTGTTCGTTCCATGGTCTGCCTTGTAGCAACCTTTGTCAGCCGAAGCCAGAGGCCGCGCTCACCGCTGTGAATGCGGGGCAGATCTACTTGGATGGCGTGAAGGCGGAAGCAAGAGCTGGCAAGGTTTGGTGAGAGTTAGAACATAAGGCCTATAAGGAGTGGGCATTGTCAACGGCAACCCAGGAAGACGCCTAGCCTTCGACAAAGACATGGCAAAAGAAGGGTCCCTATGGGAGCCATTGAAACTTTCTCTTGAGGAGGGCTTGGGGAAATGAACCTTGCGGCTTTTGTGTCGACAGAGGGCTTGGTAGATAAAGCGTGTTCCCTCCGTCGTCACGGTCTCCCTACCAGAATGTGTCTAGGCAGCATGAAGAAGCAAGCAGGGGCTAACCCCACACCTCACATCCT